TGGGGGGGTACCCCCAGTTCCTCCCCCAGCACAGCCTCCCCGGGCCTGGCTGTACCCTCTGGTCTCTGCCCCAGTGCTCCCCGTGCCAAACTGGGAACACGGTCGAAGCGGAGCGCTGAGCTGCCGGGTGGGCCGGCGATGTGGGGAGAGCCGTTGTGCCTCAGTTTCCCCTCTCCCCACCCCTCCCCACGGGCCAAGCGCTGTGATGGAGCAGCTTTTATGAGGATTTCCCCCCACCCTCCTCCGGCGCATGAGCATCGTCAGCGGCACCAAGCTCCTTGGAGCAGCAGCCCACCTCCCAGTCCCTCACCAGTCCCACCAGTCTGCCCGGGGCCCGGACTGGGGTTGCTGGCAGCGCTAGAGGGCAGCAATGGTGCAGGCAGGAGCTGCCGGGCAAGGCAGAGCCCACCACCAGCCAGGACCACCTCGCTTGAGCTCCAGGTGTCCTTGGAGGTGTCTTCTCCTCCTCCCATGGAGACCGGCTCAAAATCCAGCTGGTTTCTTCTCCAGGCCTGGAAGCGTGGCCGGTCCTGCTGGGAAACAACCCAGAAGAGCCCAGAGCCGTGCTGGAGGACACGGCGGGGTGATGCTGCTGGAGGTGGAGTAAGAACTTGTCTCATTCCCAGCAAGATGCCGTGGGTGCGAGGGGATCCGGGTCCAAACCTCCACTTCTCCCTCGTCCCAGTTCACCGGGCTGGGGGGTCCCTGCAAGCTCCCAGCTCCTGCTGGGATGGAGATGCTGAGGCGCTGCACAGATGTGTTCGCTGCCCCGAGGAGTGTCCCCTCAGCTGCCGTGTGGGAAGATGGCCCCACACCTCTCCATCGAAAGCCTTTCCCCGGTGCCCAGCGCCCTGGTACCCTCGGTGCCCCCGTGTCCCACCAGGAGAGGCAGCAAAGGGGGTGACTGTCATGGTGGGGCTTGCAAGGCTCCCATTTTTGGGATGTGGGAGAAGAGACACCTTAGTTTTACCATAACAGCGACCCTCGAAGATGGCACCAGCATCATGCCGTGTAAGCAAAGATCCTCCAGAGGAGGAAGATGCTGCCGCAAGTCCTGGTGAGGTGAACCTTGGCTTCATCTGACCTTCTCCACCACTGCAGGGCTCGGCCGGGCTCCCCCGGGGATTAGTGCCAAGAAATGACCACGCGGCTCTGCTGGATGCAACCAGTGCCACCGCATCCTTGTGCGCGGCGTGGTGTTCCCACCGTGCCGGGAGTGGGGGCTGCTGGATTTGGCCTTCCACCTTCCTGCCCCCCGCCATACTCAGGGCTCTGGGGCTGATGGAGGGGGGCAGACGGGCAGCAGGTCCCTCCCCGGGGGTGGCAAGCACCCGTCCGCTGCCCAGAGGCCCGGCACACATGGCAGCGAGCGAGTCCCGCCTGCCCCGCTTGCTGGTTTGGTCCCTTTCTGGTCCCCTTCTCCGTGTTACGGTCCCCAGGACTGGGAAATGCCATCTCTCCCCCAGAGGAAGGTCCTCACCCCCAGCACTGCCCGGAGCAGCCCCATGTCCGGCCCCCGCGGGACTCGCAGCCCCACTGGTTTTCCCATGAAATGAACTCCTTGGTTTGTTTTTCTCCTCCTCCGCCGCTGTCCTGCCCCATCCCCACAGCCACCAGCGCTGCTCCACGGGGGACCTTCAGGAAGAGAAACCCGGACCTGGAGGTACTTGCGGACCCACTCCAAGGGCAGAGCGTGCCGAGATGGGGAAGGCAGACCCCCATCCCCGATTTCCTGCCCATTGTTTTCGACGCCGCTGGCGCAGGAGCTTCACCAG